ATACAGTAGAGCGTCGTTTATCCGAATTAATTGGGGACTGGGATTGTTCGGATAACTTATTTTTCGGATAACCAATTATGTACGAAAAAATATATTAATTTATCCCGTGTTGAAATTTTTCTCCGTTGCGTGTCACTTCGCGTTGAATTTTCGTCAATGTTAAGCCTAACATAAACTTTTTAAAATAATAATTGTGGCTATTGTATCATTAAAAATTATTTCTTTATTTTGTACAAACAAAATAAATATATTGAAAATTATATTTAAAAAGAAATTATACAGTAATACCTCGACTTACGCTATCCCGACTTACGCGAACCGAGAGTTACGCGATTTTCAAATCTCATTGATTCGTCTTTTGTTTGAGCTCCACGAACCCTTGATTACTCACTCCCCCCACACTATTGTTCAGCTTACATGTTCGGATGTGTTGCGCAGAATCGACACATAGCTACGATTTATTTTGTGTTATTTATTTCTGTGTTTGTTATATCTACGGAGACTCAGCAGACTCTACTATGTCATCCAAACAAAGTAGAACTAATTCTTCTGCATCAAACAAGAAAAAAAAAACTTTTATCTTTGGAATGTAAAGTTAACATTGGGTATGATCATAAAGTCGAACGAGTTAAACGAGAATGACGTCATTGTTATTCCTATTTCATTAGACTTTTCGAATGATTCGTTATTAACGCGTTTAACTCGTTTGACTTTACAAACATACCCATTATTAAAGACTTCGATACAAAAATGAAAATTTGTGAATTGGCAAAGAAGTTTGATCTACCGGAATTGTCGGTCGGAACAATTATAAAAGGCAAAGAAAAAANGGAGACTCGAGAGACTCTACTATGTCATCCAAACGAAGTAGAACTAATTCTTCTGCATCAAACAAGAAAAGAAAAACTTTTATCTTTGGAATGTAAAGTTAACATTGGGTATGATCATAAAGTCGAACGAGTTAAACGAGAATGACGTCATTGTTATTCCTATTTCGTTAGACTTTTCGAATGATTCGTTACTAATGCGTTTAACTCATTTGACTTTACAAACATACCCATTATTAAAGACTTCGATACAAAACTGAAAATTTGTGAATTGGCAAAGAAGTTTGATCTACCGGAATTGTCGGTCAGAACAATTATAAAAGGCAAAGAAAAAATTTTCGAAGCTGTGAAA